GGATAGTTGTGAAGGTTAAGAGCATCTAGCACATGGTAAACATCACTTGAAGGCCTTTGTTAAGAAAGACATTGAAATAACCGGCTGTGGGGTCTTGCCAATAAACTACATATGAAAAAAAAATTTACCCTGAGGCATTACCTGTATTTGGATTTTAATATTTATTGTTTTCTAAAATTATACCAGTGTAAATGAAAACCCTCTCCTTCATTTTGTCATGTATACAGATCCTGAATAAACAAAATGTCTGTCTCTCATAGCCTGGGTTTTAACCCTGATGTATCCGATCGTTTATGGCTTCCCAAGGCAAAGGCGCAGAGGATGGAGAAAGAGGCTGGAGCGTCATGGAGGGAGCGAGCTCTCCCAGGGACAGTAATCCCGAAATTCACAACCCCACCCCAGCCTTCAGGGCCTAAACGGAGCCAATACAGCACCCTCCATCCCTGCCACCAGCGCGCGACCCCCAGGCCCAGTTCCCCTCCAGGGATGTCAATGGTCTTCGGAGAAGCGCCTGCGGAGCCACCGCCCGGCGGCATCCTTTCTCTAGCACGTTGAGACAGAGAACCGGGTGGCCAGAACGGCCTGTAAACCGTCAGCTAGAAGGCAAAATTAGCTTCTCTGCAAGGATAAGCGCTGAGAGGAAAGCGCTAGCAAAAATCCCAGCTCCGGACCAGCCTGAGGAGGGCCGCAGCCTGGCGCTCTCAGCCCGCCACCTCCCCAGGGCCGCCGGCGCGACGCCGCCCACCCCGAGCCCTCTTTCCCTCGCCTGGCCCGGCTCACCAGCCTCTCCATCCTCGCTCCCGGCCGCGCGCGGTGGCGGGCTTCAGCTGGAGGTCCGGAGGGATCTCACGCCAGACCCGGCGGTGCTGGAGGAAGCTCCTCGCCACTAGGACGCCCCCCGCAATCGCAGTGATTCCCCGCCCCTCACTCCTCCCCCCCCGCCCCGCCCCTTACTTTCCCCTGCACACACACACACATACACACACTTACACACATCACCCACACAGAGGAGCCGAGGCCAGGTAGGTTAGTGCTAGGCAATTAAATGCCTTTTAAAAATATGCTCATCTTTTTCTATCTTCAGAACAGTTGCATTTTTCAGAGATGGCAACTGGGGAAACGGAGAAAGTGTTTGAAAAAAATATACACTTTTCCCATTTTCATCTTACAGAGAGAAAGGATACAGGGCGAGATGGGAGGACGTGAAG